TATATAGGTACTACATGTGGACCACTCTCAAATTTGTTCTTTTTGTAATAATATCTTCAATTCTCTAATTTTGGTGAATATTTTTGTCATTTTTAGTAAAAAGTGATATTTTTGACTTCTTGTTAAAACCACAAGTCCAATTGCTTTGATATTACATATATAGGTACTACATGTAGACCACTCTCAAATTTGTTCATTTCATGATGATATCTTCAATTCACTAATTTTGATGAATATTTTTGTCATTTTTGGTAAAAAGTGATATTTTTTTGACTTCTTGTTAAAAACCACAATCATTTATGGTGAAAAATGATATTTTTGAATTCTTGTTGAAAACAGCACGTCCCATTGCATTGATACTATGCATATTGTTCATTTTCTAATGATATCTTCTGTTCTTTAATTGAAATGTGCACTGCTAACAGCGGAGCTATCTCAGCCGAGAGGCTGCTTGTTAATCCTGAAGTGAGTGAGCCCAAATATGGCATTGTTGTCATGTAAGACATGATTTGATTCGTTGAGAGAACCTGTCAACAAACTAGCTGATCTCTGATTGGCTTGAGTGTTAGTGTTGTGTAGCCAATCATGCACAGTTTTGTAAATTATATCAGTATGTTCTAACCCTATACGTGCAATAAACAATTTTACAGTCACTGAGGGATCCTGTTTTATGTTTGAAATCGAAAATAAAAACAGGTCATAGAACAGGTCTTTTCATGGATATTTCCATGCTTAATAATGTGCTGTACTCCTATGTCCAATCCAAACTCAACCACAGTCCTAAAACTTTAATGACCAACCTAACCTAAACTATAAAATATGTTATTTTCGCTGGAATTAATTTTTGCTGAAAAGACTGATTTTGGCTGATTTTGGGTTGAATGAAAAATATAGGAAAAATGGAATTTTCACTATTTCATCACTTCAGCAAATATAAATTCCAAGTGAAAATTAAGTACTTTGTAGTGGTGTATTTTGCTGTGACGTGCATTGATACCTGTCTAAACTGAACACCTACCAGATTTACCGAGATTAGTCAACAAAATATTACATCAATCATATCTGTGAAGAAAGAATTAAAAAAAAAGTTCAGTTTAGACAGGTTTTACTTTACTTTGAAATAATATAGTGCATTTTATCTTGTGCAAGTTGACTTGTAGCTAAATTAGCTACATCTCAAAATAAAACAAATAAGCATAAAATAAGCGTAAATAAATAGCATAAATAAGCTATCTCAGCTTCGTCACATCTCAAAATAGAGCATATTTGCTAAATTAGCTACATCTCAAAATAGCACAAATTAGCTACATCTTAAAATAGCACAGATTAGCTACATCTCAAAATAGCACAGATTAGCTACATCTCAACACAGCACAGATTAGCTACATCTGAAAATAGAAATAGATTAGCTACATCTCAAAATAGAAATAGATTAGCTACATCTCAAAATAGCACAAATTAGCTACATCTTAAAATAGCACAGATTAGCTACATCTCAAAATAGCACAGATTAGCTACATTTCAAAATAGCACAGATTAGCTACATCTGAAAATAGCACAGATTAGCTACATCTCAACACAGCACAGATTAGCTACATTTCAAAATAGCACAGATTAGCTACATCTGTAAATAGCACAGATTAGCTACATCTCAACACAGCACAGATTAGCTACATCTGAAAATAGCACAGATTAGCTACATCTCAACACAGCACAGATTAGCTACATCTCAACACAGCACAAATTAGCTACATCTGAAAATAGCACAGATTAGCTACATCTGAAAATAGCACAGATTAGCTACATCTGAAAATAGCACAGATTAGCTACATCTCAACACAGCACAGATTAGCTACATCTGAAAATTGCACAGATTAGCTACATCTCAACACAGCACAAATTAGCTACATCTGAAAATAGCACAGATTAGCTACATCTGAAAATAGCACAGATTAGCTACATCTGTAAATAGCACAGATTAGCTACATCTCAACACAGCACAGATTAGCTACATCTGAAAATAGCACAGATTAGCTACATCTCAAAACAGCACAGATTAGCTACATCTCAAAATAGCACAGATATTAGCTACATCTCAAAATAGAATTGCAGATTAGCTGAATCAGCTAAAATAGCATGCTACCTAAAAATGCTTGACATTATATGAAACTTATTAAAGCTAATTTTGTTTCAGATTGGAATTTCATTTCTATATTCTTCTTTTTAGCTATGCTGTTGGTGTTATCTTAAGGAATAGACCATCTTTTCTAGGGAGGGCTTATTTATTCGTTAAAATTTGGGGGTGGATTATTTAGATGTAAGATTTTAGCATAGCCATCCCAACAGAAATTGTGGTCATTGGTAATTTTTATTGTTGAGCCATGTGTGAACTAAATCGTATAACCAATCAAAATAGATGTTACAAGATTCTGGTTTCTCGTTAAGATCATCTCTGATTGGTAGAATATAGGGTTTAGTTCATAGTGGTCATGTTTGAATGAAAATCCAAAAAGAATGATGAATAATTTGAACCCCCTTATTATCTGCATATATTAGCATACACCCATAAATCTGATCTCTCTAAAGTTCATATGTTTGTTTGTTGTTTCATATTGCTTCTGCCCTTTTATAGACCATTTTCCGTTCACTGCGAGAAACACGCGTTATGCGTGAAATCGAACGTAAAAACAGGACAAACAAAGGTCATAGCGTCATAGTGGCGTCAAACATCGCGTGGGATTCAACAAAGTATTTCGGGGACATTTCCATGCTTAACAATGTGCTGTCCAGATTTGATGATAGACAATTTCAATTAAGTAAGGGTATTCGGAAGCAATATTCCTCTGTCGAAGATCGGCCGGTCGGTGTGAGCTACGAAATAAAGAAATTCGAGTTCAAAATCAAATCGTTCGATTTTTGCGGCAGACGTTCGACGCGCGTCTTTCATGCATCTCGCGAGATCTCGCAAATTGTACGGAAAATCACCTATTACTGAATTAAAGCGATTATTCAGATTCTCTGCCTTCATATATATTAAAATTCACTGGATTTAAGCATATACTAAAAACTGTATAAACAAACTCCAAATCCATGATTCACAATTATATAGCTTTAATAAACCTTTGAATCTGTAATATTTTTATTTCTATCTTTCTCTCTGTTGCTTTTCTCTCTACTATCTTCTTGGGGACCTCCCTCTTCTCAGCTACTTCCCAGTCGCAGTCTAAAGTCATCTGGTTAGTACAGTGGCTTCCTTTCTCTGCCTGCTGGTATTTTTTCTTATCTTTTAATTGCTTTTTAATGTTCTACTAAACAGCTCTC